GATCATTTTAGCTCCAGGAGCATAATTTCGACATGTGAAAACTTCCTAGCCATTCTCAAAGGATCTGTGCTTCATTTCTATGACATTTATCAACTAAGTCAAGTGAGAAAACTGGAAGTCTCTTTATCATGGAAGACTTAGAGTATCTATATGCAGAGTATCTACCCTGTTGACTTCATGGGAACAATAATATGTAGAGTATCTCCCTATAGTAGATCTATGCAGGGTGGATACTCTGCATATTATTGTTCCCACGCATATTATTGTTCCCATGAAATGAGCGGGGCCCAAACCTGCTCAGCTCCCTGCAGAACCAGGTTCTTCCCTCCCTCGGGGGTTGCTCCAAAACCCTTCCCGGGCCGAGGCTGGCTGAGCTGCAACGCCAGGCAGTCACCAGAGGGAGCTGCAGCAAGACGCAGACTCCGCTTCTCTCTTTTTCCATTGTTTTCTTCGGCACAAACAACAGCGACCCAGCATATTCTTTTTTTCGAGTTACATTTTTTATTAGACGAACACAGTCGTGATACATSATGTAAAACGCCACGTGTGCGCAGCCTGGGATGCAGGGTGCCCCGTCTCCCGCCGGGCTACAAAGTGAGGACACCCTCACAGCGCAGGCCGGCCTAGCCCGTGGTGTGGCAGGAGCTGGAGCAGGCCGGGATCCGGACACAGCATACCAGGGAGAGGGAGGATGCGGGAAGAAGGGGGAAAGCCCAGCCTGCCCTGGCTCCATTCGCCATTTCCCCTCCGAATCCGTGAGGAGCCCTTCACGAGCAAGAGGGTAGAGGCCGGGCCAGGAGGCCCGCGCATGAGCAGCTCCCCACAGACACAAAGGTGCCACCTGCCCTTCGGAAACGTTTCCCCCGAGCAGGGCGAACCCTCTGTGCTGACCCCTCGCGCTGCTCACRCAAGTGGTGCTACCAAAATGGATGGACACGTCAAGGACGACTAAAGGGATTTGGCACATCCTGGATAAGACCCCACTCGCACCCTCACATGAAGGCAGCTCCCTTGCCACAAGGCACRGCCTAAAACCTTAGGCTCCTACTTCTGAGTAATGTTATTCCAAGAATTTGGCTCCCAAAATAAGCAACCTGACAAGAAGATACAGGGAGGGAGAAGCAAGGAGGCTACTGAGAGCTGGGCAGCAACTCTTCACGTCAGCCGTAGCACCTGGGCTGCTCAGCACTTCAAACAGGCGGGTATTTTTGAGCCTGAACATGGATTTAGGGGGCTTTACCCCAGGACTATTTCCTTGGAAGGCTTGATTATAAAATATGCCATATGCAGGGAAAAAAAATAAGGGAGGGAAAGGAGGGAGGGAGGGAGGAAGGGAGGGAGGAAAGGAGGGAGGGAGAGAAAGCTACACTAAGAAAAATCAAGAATTTATCAGACTCATCAAAAAGCATTTCAGCATTACCAAAAAGCGTTTCAGCATTACAAACATGTGCCTTTCTTCTCAGGGCTCCACATCTATTTACTGCATTATTAAAAAAAATAAGTCATAGAAACTATCTCCTTYGGGTCCCAGAGAGTCTAAGAGGCCCCTACAGTAACAGTCGTCTCTCTGACAAGGCACTAACCAGCAGTGTGTGGCACTAGCAGAAGCATCTCTGATCCAAGCCACTGATACAGTGAATGTGTGTGTGCACATATGCCCACATAGCAAATTTAGATATATAAGATTTAAAGTTTACTCCACACTGTTCTCCCTTTAAAAAGAGGCCTAGTTGCAAGCATCAGCTAAAAATGTCATCATCTGGCTCTCAAGCAGACCTCCTTCCATGCAAGTAGGTTTTAAACAAAATTAGGAACTTGCTGTTTCTTGCAACAGCAGGTCTAATTTCCACAGCTTTTCAGTTACCTGATTAGTTACATTTCATTCCTACAAAACTGTTTTAAAAAATAACAGGCTGTCTTAGGTAACAAACTAAAACTCTACTTGCTTTAATTACAAAAATAAGGCTGTAGCACATTAGACAAAATATACATTTAAACAACACACATACTTTTTTTTTTTTCCAAATAATCTAGCCACTTACAGTTAAATTCAAAAGCAAATAATCTACTGGACTGATAAAGCCAATCCACACCAGCAAGTAGAGTGCCTCTGGAGCTAGTATTGATGTCCATACAACTGATTGCGCCCATATGCACACTTTGAAATAAGCTATTTTTACTTAATAGCTATAACAGAATTTGCTGTCCACTGAACTACAGGCTGCTATTTTGCAGTTACCAAAATTGGAGGAATTTTGTGAAAGCAATTCAGCCCTAGACGAGTAAGTGTGAGATAAGTAAGACTGGGATTACTCATGTGGACATACTTATTTCTGTAAGCTTTTCAAACTGGGTCTTCAGGCAGTTCTCAAAGTTCACAACATATCAAGTACATGATAAATCCAGGATGGCTTCTCTGTAACTGACTATGCAGTTATGTAAATTTATATCCATATTCTTTGCAAAGTTAAATAATTTTCCTTAGAAAGAGTTACATAGAATTTGTTAAAGTTAAGAAAGTACAACTCTGGCTCTTTTTTTTTTTTTTTTTTTGGTCACATTCTTATAGTGAATGCTTGGGTTTCATAAAAATATGGGATTAGTGACAAGAATGTCACAATAACTTACCACAGGCAACTATATAATTCTGAAAAATATATATACATATACATACATGTATGTTATCAGCTCCTGCTTGAGATAACTGCTAGACAGGGTTCTATAGCCAAGATTTTGACTAGTAAATATAACTATGGGGTTAAATCTATGTGTGCTCRTGTTCCACCTAGCTCCTTTAATGGAGCTGAGGAGGCACAGGAGGATCTAAAGAGAAACTGATTTATGGGTGGTTTCTTTTAGCTTCTCCTTTTTAAAACTTGATTTATTCATTGGCCTTTGTTCTAAGGGAAAAAAACATTTACTTTTAAGTAGATTGTGTCTGAAACAACACTAATAGAAAGACAACCTATTCTTTACCATAGCAATCAGCAGTCATGAATGTTGGTCATATTACACCTTGGTCATTTCAAGTAAACTCCTACCCCAAATCTGGGGGCTACAGGTCTCCTGTTGCTCACGATCTTCATCAAGGACTTGAATGATGATCCTGAGTGACCGTCAGCACTCTCTGCGAATGACACTCAACTTGGGAGAGTGGCTGACTACATAGAGAAGAACCTCAGTGAAGGGGAGCTCAAAAACCTTGAATCATCTGAGACCTCCTTGGATTTGACATGAAAAAGTGTAAAATTTTGCACCAGGTGGTGGCCATGTATGAGTAGTGGCTGGGAGGAGCCCTCTACTAAATGAAGACCACCAGGGGCTGAAGGAACATGGCCTGTGCAGAGGGACTGAGGAAGCTGGATTGGCTTCAGGGGAAAAGAAACTTAAGAGGTGAATCTATCAGTAGACTGGAAGGGAGCAACAAGAAGGATGGTGCCAAACTCTTCCTCTGAATGCTCAACGGCATAATAATAAAAAAAATAAAAATAACAAAGGCATCAGTCATAAACATAAAAGAGAGTTTCTGAGTTTTCACAGAAAAAAGCTTTTCACAGAATAGTTGCGGTTGGAAGGGACCTCTAGAGATCATCCAGCCCAATCCCCTGCTCCAGCAGGGACACCCAGAGCACAGGGCGGCATCCAGGTGGGTTTGGAAGATCTCCAGAGAAGGAGACTCCACAGCCTCCCTGGACAGCCTGTTCCAGGGCTCTGGCACCCTCACAGGAAACAAGTTCCTCCTCACATGGAGATGGAACTGCCTGTGTTTCAGCTTKTACCCATTACGCCTTGTCTTGTCACTGACTACTATCAAGAAGAGTTTGGCCCCATCCTCCCTGCATTCTCCCCTCAGTATTTGTAGATGTTGATCAGATCTCCTCACAGCCTTCTCTTCCCCAGGCTAAGCAGGCCCAGTTCTCTTATGTCTTTCCTCATACAAGAGATCCTCCAGTCCCGTAATCATCTTTGTTGTTCTCCAGTGGGCCTTTCTCTAGAAGCTCCACATCCCTCTTGCACTGAGGAGCCCAGAACTGCACACAGTACTCCAGGTGCAGCCTCAACAGAGCTGAGGAGAGGGGCAGGATCCCCTCCCTTGACCTGCTGGCAACATCCTCCTGATACAGCCAGGATCCCATTGGCCTTCTTGGCCACGAGGGCACACTGCTGACTCATGGTTAACTTGGTGTCAACCAGGACACCCAGGTCCCTCTCTGGACGCTGCTTTCCAACAGGTCGAGCCCTAATCTGTACTGGTGCCTGGGGTTATTCCTCCCCAGGTGCAGGACCCTGCGCTTGTCCTTATTGAACCTCATGAGGCTCCTGTCTGCCCAACTCTCCAGCCTGTCCAGGTCCCTCTGGATGGCAGCACAGCCCTCCGGAGTGTCGGCCACTCCACCCAGCTTGGTGTCATCTGCAAACTTGTTAAGGGTGCATTCCGTGCCCTCGTCCAGGTCATTGATGAACAAGTTGAACAGCGCTGGGCCCAGCACTGACCCCTGGGGGACACCACTGGCCACAGGCCTCCAACTGGACTCAGCCCCATTTATYACCACCCTCTTAGCTCTGCCATCCAGTCAGTTCTTGATCCACCTGACTGTGCCCTCATCTAACTCACACTTCCTGAGTTTCCCTATGAGTATCTTATGGGAGACTGCATCAAAATCCTTGCTGAAGTCAAGGCAGACAACCTTGGAAGTGTGGCTTCCCTCAAAGCACAGCGTAAGTGATGCTGGGATTGAAGAGAAGCTCTCGCACTCTGTCATTTATACAAAGACATAAGGACAGTTACTGGAATAGCACTACCCAGCCATTCTGAAATCACTTCAGCATAAACTATATTGCAGCTTAGCTGTTATTTAAGGAGCTAAAAGTGATTCAAAATGCAGAATGTGATTTGACTTCATGCTAAACTTCATTTTGCAATGTTTACTGGCAAGCTAAGGGCCTAATTTTTGCTATGTGCATGCAAGTAGTGCCTCTGGGGCAATCTCCCTTTCCTTAGCTCTTGCTCCACAGCAGGGCTRACTGCTGTAGCCTCATCCAGCGTAGCAGACATCCAGCTTTCTCCCTGTCTTTGAGGCATCCCTTCTCATATCTAGGGAGGCTCATTGGAACAACAGCTGAGCAAGCTAGATGTGCTCAGCAGAGTTTTTAACCTTCTCCAGGATTGAGCCTTCACTATCAAAGTATCATCCTGGATATCTTAGGTGGATAATGGTGGAGCAGTATGTTATTGTAGGGAAACTCAAGGTTTTGGCTAAGTCTTTCTCACTTAACAGAATTATTATATTATTCTTAATATAGTCATTAGCTGTGAGACCTTGYTTTCCATCAGTATTTTCTATCCATGCATATTTTACCTGTATTTGAAAAAGGACCCATGTCAAAATATTTCATCTTGGTACTCCCTGCCTGGTAACAATTCTTTTTAAACAGCCAGTTGCAATGTTCTTCATGAGGCAAATCAAGTTTTCATGATTAAGGTTAGCAGCTCACGTCTCCTAAAATAACCATACATTAGTATAAACATCACAATAAAGTAAGGTAGAGCAGAAATATGGCAGTTTTTAAGTTGAACTGAGATGGTAAGATTGACTGCTTTTACCTACCGGATTGCAAATAACACAAACTTTCTAACAAGCACCAGCTCTTTTAACTATCAGGTGAGCTAATTCCAAGTGCAGTTATTCCAAGTTACAAGAATTTTAAAAGGTAAGGAATCCATTAACGATAGAGGTCCTACACGACCACTATTCACCCTCTAACACGTGTCAGAAAGAAGATGAGTGCCAGTTATAAAAGCTATCTAAAGACAYATGTGAAACATCAGCAATGAGTATTTTTGAAAAGGAAGATGAGCAGCTCAGTCTTAACCCCATTTCACAGGCAAGCTATTAACCCCATACTGTTGGCGAGCACCATCCCAGTGGCGAGCAGAATGCACAATGAGGCGTGTGGCTCTATCACAGTGATCCATTAGGGAAGCCATCGCGTGCTGAAGAGCAGGGTCATTCATTCAGAAGATGGGCTTGTTGAAGCTTCAGGTAGGTTTCCTAAGGTTCTGACTCCTACTCTCAAGAAAGAAAGAAAGAAAGAAAAAAGGGTTGTTAATGCTATAACGTGTTCTTAGTTTCTCATCCCCCGAGTTTTTGAGTTTGATCCTCTTTCTGTGCTCCTTCCAGCCCTTCCTCCTTTCTCAGTGTCTGACCTAGGGAAATCCTTTGTAATGGGGGTACCCCCTAGCCCTAGTCCCTGTAAAAGCTGATCACTTTCTTAACAGACTCAAGCAGTGATCTGACCATATTTGTAGGGACACTCCTCTAGACCTACACCAGGCTCCATTTCCCAGGAACAGAGCTGCAGAGAAGCGCTACTTCTGGTTTCAGGATGAGATCACCTTTTTCCTACAACTAATTCTTCAAGATAGGAAACAAGGCAGGCTGCCAAAATAAACTGTTTCTGTGGCTCCCTGCTGAGGTTGCCTCCTACTCATCTCCCCCATGGAGTCCAGAAATAAAGGAATTCCTGGCAAATGAGGAATTTTATAGATACTGGAGGGCTACAAGCTAGGCCTGAAACAGTACTACTAACCAAACCCAGAAGAAAATCTTCTCCTAGATATCTGATCTACTGCCCATAGAAGCATCATATCCTCATCTCCTCATCATATCCATAAGGCAGGAGAGTGTCCTCTGTTACACTGCCCTCAACAGGAACATGCTACCTGGCTCTCTGCTCTGTCCTGCTATATATGTTCTCTAAAATGTTGCTACAGCTCCACCTTTTCAGCATGTTTTTTTTAATACTCAAGGAGTAAATGTCATCCTGGCTGGCCCATTACAGCAGGCTGGCCCAGAAAGATGATGTTTTGGTGTTATTAGCTACAGCTACTCAGGGTTTAAGACCCAAGCTCAGTTCTCTGTTACAATTAAGTCAGTTGCTTCCAACTTACACTGATAAATGGAAGCCAAATATGTTCCCTGAACTTAATTCATTTGCTGTCTCAAATTAACTCGCATGTAAACCTTGGTTTCATTTAAAATGCTCTACCTCTCACTGCAGCAGCTCCAATTACCTCATTAGCATTAGGTTGGTATGGAGAGCTATCAAGATAATGGTCCATCTGAACACACTGAGTTCTTTCTGTTCAAAGAAAACTTCATCTCAATATTTCACAAATTTCATAAATAGTCTGCAATATTACACTTGCCTTTGATGCCAAGCTAGGTTTCAGTCCAAGAAAGGAGAAGACAGTGTTGCTTTCCTTTGATTCGAAAAAGCCATCGTAATCCTAGAGGAAAAAAGATCAGTCAATATTTGTACTACTGGTCTCCTGCTTGATCTCCCTATACTATACATTACAGTGGAGAAAAATTCATAATAATTTTCAGGAAAATATTCATTGATACTTACACATATTCTCCTATGCAAACCTAACAAKCATTTTAAAGTGGAACAATATCAACAACTCCAACATGAAAGAAAAATACACAAATTTTCTAACATCTTTCACTACTTAACTTGACAGRAAAATATAAATGCTGATTTACATTTGTAGGCATAAAGGTAATCAAGTGCTTAAAGGTAAGTTTCCAAAGGGTTTTTCAAATGGCATGTTAGGAAACAAAATACTTTCAAACTTCAAGGAAGAGTCCTACAGAAGTTGAATTCCTTAACTAATTCTCCTGTGGTGAAGCAGTGACTTCATCACCATTGTATCCTTGGAAAACCACAATCATACCCCAGACTTTGACAATTACATAGCTCAATATAAAACACTACCATATTTTCCTATAAAATAAGCTTCTTTATTATAAACAGGTTACATCTAGCGTTCATCTTCCTAAGATCAGGCTCAGATCTCAAGTGTTGCCAACCTTGAGATGTGAAAGTTGATAAGTTAAAAGTGTTACTAGCACTTTTACCAACCAGGAAGAGCTACAGGTTAAGAGATGTTCCAAAAACTCCTTCCCTTTTATAAGGGGAGAAGGTCTGCACAGATTTGGGCCATTTGTAAAGACACCAAATCGAATTGTGAGGATGTGAAGAAACAAAAAGATCATCTCGGTGCTATCAGCATTAGGTGCCGATAAAGGGAAATGTTTGGAAGCTCAGAGGGAGCTGGAAGCTTTGCACACAGCCAAGGGCTTGTGAGCAGGGAGGTCCCACTTGGGAAGGCCCTGTGGGATGCCCCACGTCCCACAGAGGAAGGAGGTCCCATCGGCTCTTTGTGGCCGGTCAGGGGCTCCCCATTGCTGCATGGGGCTTGGCTGCAGATGACGGCTCACCCCCGAGCCCCGGGCCAGGCAGCTCCAGGAGCCGGGTGGGAGCCCCTGAGTGCCAGGATCCTGCCTTCCCCAAGGAAGCGGCTCCCGCTGGCCCCCGAGGGCATCCACAAAGCAGTTGTTAGCCTAAAAATACACAGCAAGGTGGTGTGGCAAACTGCCACCCAGCRCTGCACTCCTGATGGAAGCTGCACGTACAAATATAATCTTGAGTGTCCCGCTTTAAATTATGATCTTTGATGCTTTCCAGAGCTGCTAATTACATGCTATTAACATATAAAATTCTGGCAACAGCAGTAACTAATTAAAGCTAATAAAGCAAAAGGGACATACAGACAGTGAACATGAATCATCACTGAGGCAGCAGTGCTCAGTCCCTCAGGAAAATTCGAAAAGCCACAAAATACAGGGGATTTATCAAGCAACAAGGGAACAAAAGGCTGCAGAGAATGACAAATGCCAGCAAGGAGAAAAGATACAGAATGATTTGAGGGCATAGAGAAGTGACAGGAGTGCCAATAAGGTAAGTTAAAAGCTATTTCAAGGCAGAAAATGCTTCTTAATAGGCTACTAGCTACCTGGTTGTGGTAGGCCTAGCTTCTCACCAGCCAAACCAATGGCTTCAGTGATTGTGGAGTCTCCTTCTCTGGAGATCTTCCAAACCCGCCTGGATGCCGCCCTGTGCCCCATGCTCTGGGTGTCCCTGCTGGAGTAGGAAGGTTGGACTGGATGATCTCTAGAGGTCCCTTCCAACCTCAACCWTTCTGAGATTGTGTGATTTTAAACCAGAACAGAGAGGAAGACTGTGGTCTTCAGAAGCAAAGTAACCCACATGAGAGATGAGGAGAAGGTGGTGAAGCTACTTGTCTTGCTCGTAGCCTTTCCTGGGCAGATGCTTATGATCACTGCAGAACCAAACGTGAGCTTCAGTCTCACATAATAAGGCTGTTYGTGTTATCTTAGGTTATATGTTACGCAAAGTTTTAAAATAATCCAAGTGTAATTTTCCATTTAATGTGCTAATAACAACAAGTCTCAAACCTTATAGTTTTGTTTTCAAAATCCAAGTCCTTCCAGTGACTCTCCAACAGGGAGGTGCAGTGGTGACTCTGCAGTTCTTTAAAGCCAGATTAATCAGAGGCAGAATTCTCTTACTGTCTCGATTATCCATAAATCCCAATTCCCAGCCACTCCCCAAATGCTGTATTAAAGTAAGAGCAGCCTTGCCCTTGGCTGAGTGGGCTAGCAGCCAGGAAATGTGCATTTAACTCCTCGTAAGGACACGCATCATTCTGGCATTTATGTGGGCTTTACACCATCCGCTCCAGCAAGAAAGGTGTTGGGGGTGGCAATTCCCTCCTCCTCCGAAATTCCACTTCCAGGGCAGCTGGAAGCAGCAGCCACTGCTAGGGACTGCTCACCTCACTCAGCACGGCTATGGCATGGTCCCCCAAACGCGCTGTGCAGGCCTGAGGTGCGTGATGTTGGGGACATCAAACCACTGCAGCRAGGGGGCTACAGACAAAGCCACAACTCACTTGGTTAAGCAGGTACCCGGCGGCTTGCTGGCTTGCTTAAACACACGCTGTCCCTGCCGGGGGAGGCTGCACCCCCAGGGGAAAGCTGGCAATACTCAAAAGATCAATCCAATCAAAATCAATCAGAAAGATCAATCAAAGGATCAGCATAAAAAACAATCTGTGCTTCAGGAGACACGGGCAGAAAGTATGGCACTGGGTAAGAAGTAAAGTTCAATATTGACACAGTAGGTTTCATTTACCAGTCAGCAATTAGATAGACAATGTCTATCCATTACTGCAACTGAGATGAGGAAAATATTATCCTCTACGACATTTCAAAGATAGCAACTATAATAAAAACTCCTCCTAATACATTTCTTTAAAAGAGAAAACTTGCCCTGTTGCTCTTAGTTTGCAAAGAGAAAAAGAGCTTGCTAAACATCTCAAACATTTTTAGTGCTTATCAAGCGTTTACCTTCCCACATCAAGAGACAAAAAAAAAAAAAAAAAGCAACTTGCCTAAGTGTAGCTTACAAAAGTAGCATTTTTATATATAGATATTTTATTATATACTAATTATCAGATACCAACAYAAAGAAAACATTGCTATGCTGTTGGAAATTGTTCCTCTTTGGCGATCACTTATTAAACATGATGATGATCTCTCTGCATTCTTAGAAATGAGCCAAGGTAACTGCTCTTACAAGCAGAGCTGGGGAACTTGCAGTTTAAATGAGCTRAATCAGACTTTGCTCCTGCCCAACTTACTCCACATAGGCTGGAGAATGAGACACAGTGTCCCTCCTGGAAAGGGCACCTCGGTCCTTGGCACAGCAGGCGTTCACTCACTGACCTCATGGGGATTGCAAGGAGAAATCCTACTCAGCACAGCCCTGCTCGGAGAAGGAGCGGGAGCCCTTCCTGCACAGCCCTTCCTGCACAACACGGAATCACACAAAGACTGAGGTTGGAAGAGGCCTCTAGAGATCAGCTAGGGGTAATGGATACAAGCTGAAACACAGGCAGCTCSATCTGCATGTGAGGAAGAATTTCATTCCAGTGAGGGTGACAGAGCCCTGGCACAGGCTGCCCAGGGAGGCTGTGGAGTCTCCTTCTCTTGGGATCTTCCAAACTCGYCTGGATGCCGCCCTGTGCCCCGTGCTCTGGGTGTCCCTGCTGGAGCGGGGGTTGGACTGGATGATCTCTATCTCTAGAGGTCCCTTCCAACCTCCACCCTTCTGTGATTGTGTGATCTAGGCCAACCTGCCTGCACCCACGGAGATCATCTAGTCCAGCCCCTGATCTCAGGCAGGGACACACGAGACCCTGTCTGCGCGGCGCAGCGTGAACGTGGTGCGGTCTCCATTAGGTAACCTCAGTGAGATCCCCAGGCAAGATATTTGAAGAGCTTTTATCACYGAGTCTGCAGAGCAACCTCTCTCAGAGTTGGCAGGTATTTTGCTAATCTCTGCATATGCTGAGGCTCCAATACCAGACAGGCAGGTGTCAAGGACAGCTCCATTCTGGACAGCACACAACAAACTGTGGCTGATGAYGTGTTTGGCGGTGCCCCAGTGACCAGGAACATAGACATCTACCCARTAACTACAGTCACCCTTTCTACAATTGGCCATAGCTGAAAAACATGAGTTAACCACGCTGCACGGAAGCACATACCCAATCTGTAAATAAAGCAAGCATAGAGTTAGAACTAAGACTGAGCTTGTTGGAACAACCCCTTTTAGTTACAAGAAGGCGCAAGAGGCAGCAGCAACATTCGTGTCTCCTTCCCTTCCAAGCAGGAAGGAAAATAACAACACAGTGAGCAACTACACGATGAATGAGATTGAGAAAATAAAAAAGAGTAGATTCTCAAGAGTTAAAATACCTGCTAACTCACCTTGAAACAGCTATTTCTCGAAGTCTAGAAAAAGGAAAGAGTAACATATTACTGCTACCAATTTGAACTATTCTGGGGAGGGATAAAATTCTTCCATTACTTCCATTTTTACTGAATTGCTGAGTTTGTTTTCTTAAGCTCCAGTACTAGGTAGGCTGATCACTCTAGTCCCATACCCCCCCTTAATGAAATACATATTACAAAGAACTCAAGATCTTTGCCTCAGGACATGGATCAACAGCGAAATGGTAGAAGCTGAAAGCACAGATGGAGCCTATGAGTTACACCTGTATGGATACCTTGAACAGGCTAAGTGAAATCCTGCCAACATGGAGAGGAGCCATGGGCAGCAATTGTTTAAGTTAAATCACTTAAAATGCAGAGAACTACCTCTTAGATTAAAAAATTGTGTGGATGGGTGTGGGTGGGTGTCTTAAAATCAAGCAAGCTTCAGCACCATCCACCACATATCTGAGCAGCCACACGGTCTCCAAGCAGTGAGCACCAGCTTCCACCTGGCGAGGTGAGTTCCGTCCTTCCTGAGGACCAACCTGGAGCACCGAGATGCCAAGCGAGTCATACGAGA